TTGCCCGCCATACAATTTCCATACCCAGGTGTGGCCCACCCCTGCTCCAGAGAAACTGTCTCAGGCAAAGACTTCGATGTCCTGGGAACAGTGATCTGGCCGGAGGGCCGAGCCAGGAAGGGAGAGCACCCGGTATCTCAGAGAGCGAGGGAGAGAGGGGCAAGGTGCACAAGCAGCGGCAGAAGGGAATGTCGGACCTGGAAAGAGCTAATCCCCAGAGCAGCCAGGAGGAAGCCCCTTAGCAGTAATTAACCTGACAACCACTGACTATTTAGAACAAAAATCAGAACCCCCACAACGCACACTGACCTGCCAGACGTGTGTAACGTGGCAACATCAAAAAAGAAACCCGGCAGCCACCACATGCAAAACAGGACCCTGGAGACAGAGTCACAACGTACAGAAAACCCACCAATGAAAGCAGCAGAGATCCAAATTCCAGGGGTCCTGCCCTGTGGGAACACAAGCCAGAATCGGCTCCAGAGGCTGACTGCTGGTCTGTATCCTGAGTTGCATAGATGTAATTAAGTCTTGTCTACATGAGACAGGGTACGTCTACACTAGAAACACTACAGTGGCGCAGCTGCTGCATTGGCACCATAGCAACGCAAGTGGTTCTTCCCTAACTGTAGATAATCCACCTCTCCGCGAGGTGGTAACTAGGTCAGCGGAAGTATTTTCCTGTTGACTTAGGGCTGTCTACACCTGAACTGAGGTTGGCTTAACTATCTATCTCCGGGGGGTGAATTTTTCAGACCTCTGAGCAAAATAGCTACAGCGACCTAACTCTCCAGTGGAGACCAACCCAAAGTTGCACCTAACTTAAGTCGGTTTCTAAACTGGTTTGGTTAACGCCCCTCCCCCTTTTACCCCCACTCCACATGGACACTTGTTGGAGTTTAAGGACAGTTCATTACGGGCAGCTTAAACCTTTTTCAATCTGATCTGAGACAAACTGAAACGAGCCACTGAAACTCTAAAAAGAGCAGGTAAAAGAATGTTTCAGTTTAGTTAAACTGAAGTAATTTTTAATCCGATTTCAGTTCAACTTTCTCACGTAGATAAGCCCCGTGGCATCTTTATTATTATTTAAATTGCAGCAGCAGGTAGGAGTCGCAGCCATGGACCAAGATCCCCTTGTGCCAGGTGCTGGACAAACACAGAACAAGGGTGGTCCATGTTTCTAATGTAAGTATGAAACAAGACAATGGGCGGGTGCAGGCAGAGGGACGGGGGAGTACAAGGGAAAAGTGAAACAATACTAGTCATTTACTGCTGTGCATCTAGTCATCTCTCTGTAGCGCTATTACACATCTCTGTAACCTGCTTCTAGCATTTACTCATAATTTATTAACCGTTTATAGATAGAATCATTAGCTAAGAAGTGTGACTGTTTCATGTACCTCCTCCAACCCGACAACAACACTGGGGATAAAGCGGCTTCAAATCCCCCCCTTTCAACACACACCTGGAGATGTCACAACCCACCCAAGAGACAGGCTCTATGTTCTACCCTCTCAGCCAGCAGCACCGCTCACACAGACTCTCTTCTCTCTTAGCCATGAGACCAGCCGTTAATTTCGGATCATGTCTCACCTACTCATAGAGAGAGACCGGAATGACCGATCCATCCCCTACAGACCAGAGACTCCCTGTCTGTCAATTAGACACGATCCCAGCAACAAGCTCAGGATGAAACTCAACCAGTCTCTGGTGCGAAGCGTCCCGCTCAGGCATTGCCACATCCCTGCTCTGGGAAAGCTACACAGCTCCGGGCATCTGGAAGCAGGAGGTTCTGATGGCAACTGGTTTGTAAGTTTAGCTACAGCAGCTGCTCCTGCTACAACCCCCAAACCCCAGGGATGATGCCGAAGGGAGCTCACTCACCAGGTTATCTTCTGCTGGGACCAACAGAGCCTGTCTCTGAGCCGAGCCTCAAGAGAAAGACGAAACATCCTCTAAAGAATCAATGGGACTGAACTGTGGGGGTTGGGTCAGTTTCACCGAGAAAATGGGATAATTATCTAAGTCAGAGTCACACTCCGTCAGGCAGCCAAGCCACACGGGCTGGTAATTGTCTAAAAAGAACAGTGATAAAGAGAGGAAAGACCCTGACTAGTCAGGACATTGTTACTAATCTCTGTCAATCCCCCATCCCAGCTATGCCAATAGCCCCTCAATCTCCCTACTGTCCCAGCCCTGGACTTTCCCTGCCAGTGCCCTTCAACCCCGACCCATAGTCCCCCTCCCCCCACCGCTATCCCAGCCCTGGGCTTTCCCCACCACCACCCCACAGCTCTGCTGGTGCCCCACAGTCCCGTTATGCCAGCCCGGGGATCTCCCTCTGTCAATGCCCCTCAATCCTGACCCAGAGCCGTCCTGTTACCCCAGCCCTGGGTTTGCCCTCCTCCTCCTCCCCCCAACTTTGTCAATGCCCTTCAATCCCAAACCCATAGCCCGGCCCCCTCTGCCAGTGCCCTGTAATCCCGACCCGCTGTCCCCTGCTCTCCCAGCTCCGCGATCCCCCTCAAAGGATCACACGCACACACCCAGCTCTGCCTCAGTAGGTCAGTTCATCCTGATAATCCCATTCCTCAGCTTGTAGCCAGCATCAGACACAGCAGCGAGGACTGTGTGGAGTTAGAGGGGAACCCCTCCCCCCAAGACCCCATCGAGAGGAGCGGTTCTCAAATGTCTGTGATCGCACCCCCATTCTGTGTGTCTGGCGTAGTTTGTGTCCCCTCCGTGACGTCACACACGTACCTATACCGACACAAACACACAACTCTCCCTAGATATTCAGCCCAGCAAGGCGTTGATTCGAACAGAGCCAACGAGCTGTTGTAACAAGAGCAAAGGCGAAGCTGCGACTGGGGTCCAGACCTAGAGTCAAACGGGCCGCGGCTGCATCGCAGCACAGGGATTACTGTCCAGACGGCCGGGGCCGTGTATAACGCTCTGCAAACGGGACAGGAATCCATCTAGGGTGACCAGATCACCAAAGACAAATATCGGGACGCGGGGGGGGGGG